CACGGATTACAAAACACAAAAATACCAGAAAATAGCCAGAGGCTGAACCCGAAAAAGATGGACGACGTTTGGTAAGTACCCGAAAACGGGTACGACGTAATCCGGGGATAAAGATGATCCAAAATTCTTTGGATCAAGCGAAATTTGACGCAAGTCAAATTTTTTGCACGACACTTGTAAACACTGTTCCGGCACTGTCCTTTGAAAGTAAAACCTCAAAAAGCCAGCATGCTCTGTAATATGTTCCGTAGCGCAGGTTCTTGGTACCGACAAGGACTGCGGATGTAAACGCATATACGACGATGCTACGATGAGGCGAATACCAGAACGAACGAACGGAGCGGAAACGCGTGTATTCGGCGACACGAAAGGAGCAAGTGTTTTTCGGCACAAGCGTAGATAAAACAAGTAGCTTTGGCAAAGGCGACGCGGCGATGGTTTTACCGTTTGTTTCTACATGAATAAGATACACATCAAGATAATAAAGGGAATAACGCGGGCACTAAAAATAACATATGGTTTAAACGAACCAGTGTGCTTTCATTTGCGTTACACTGCCTCCTTCTCCGAGAGGCACTGTCCTCAGTCGCTGCCAACATATGTGCTTCCACAGCCCATGTGATCAGACGTCTGTATGGTGGGCCAGGACCGTGCAGGATGGGTAGGTGTAGCTCTATGCAACATCCAGTGCGACAATGCAATGAACGGAGCAGCCGCTTCGAAAAACAAAGTTAAATTGTGCGTTATAGACGGAGACACAACTCGTAGTAGCAAATGCATCGTGACAATATCTGTACGACGCGTGGCAAATAATGATAAGCAATGAGGCAGAGGTTGGAGAAAAGTTATCGAATCACTATGCGGTGGTCGGCGAGAAATATCTACTACAATGGACGGTACTGAAGGGGAAAATGGCTTCGCCGTCGACTCCACCGTGTATGCACAAGTTGTCGATGTCATGATACGAAGGAGATAAGTAAGCGAGTTCAGAAAAAATAACTGCTTCGTCGTAGTGCGAAGTAAGCTGTGTCTGCACGACGCAAGCTGTGGCGAAAGATATTACCGGAGTTGACAGTTCGTTACAATCGATAACTGCAGTACAAATCACTTCCTCCCTTGGAACTTGGGAGTACTACGCGGTAACTCGATTTTTTGGCGTGCCATACTGATCGAGCTTTTCAGCTGAAATAACGTGGAAAACAGTGTTTGAATAAACACTTGAAACGAAATTTGACCATTGTCAAATTTTCTCTGATCCAAGAAATCTTGGATCGAATAAATTGGTACTGGCCCAAGCGTCTTTGACGCTTACTGGTAATTTTTCCGGTTGTTCCCAGTTTTAATCCCGTTTTGCACCCTGTTTTTGCCTTTTTATTGCGGTCGTTTTCCTATTGTATACGTGTTGTAATTCTACTCCGTTTTCCACATGAACATGGCTGTCTCGCTAAACACCGAGACGGATGGACCTATGGGGTCCTCGTTTGATGAGTCTACTGCAGCTTGCGGACAGGTTAACTGTTCAGAGCCAGTAACAGATGCATCTGGTGGTATGCAGTGTGACGTCTGCTGCCGCTGATATCACGAAAGTTGTACCGGCCTACAAGCTGACCAGTACCAAATGCTATCATCAAGCATCCACTTTCTTTTCAGCTGCGCTGAATGCTGCGCTAAAAGATCGACGCGCCCGGCTGTCACCGGTGCTAAACTTTCAGCGTTGGCTTCAAGGTTGGCAGATGTTGAGTTGGCGATAGCTAAACTCGCCTCTATTGCGTCGCTCGATACGAAAATGGATTTAATTTTAAAATCCCTAAATATTTCGTTTGAAGACACAGCAATAGCCGGCAACATTGCTGACGATCCATCCACTGGAGTCTCTCACTCTATCATAAAGTCGCACATCCTACCGGCCAATCCAGGTAGCATTGCTTGCGGTCCTCATGATCCGATCAAAGTGAAGAAAAATAGGCTGCGGAAATACCAAAAGCCCTCTGCTAAACCCAGAGAAATAGTTGCCACGGCATCGAACGAGATGCCGTCTTTGACAGTCGTAAAGTCGTCTGAAGATTGCACACAGAACTTTCCACAGACGCTGTCTGTCTCGGCCGCCAGTGAACCAGCCTGTTCTGACGAAATGCTGGTAACTGCCCAATGCGATACAAAGTCAACAGCCCCTGCTCCAGTGAGCCAAAAGAAGAAGCGGACAAGATCTGCTCGTAAAACTTCGAAGGGGCTTGAAGACCCTGGAACCAGTAAGACGCCGGCAATAGAGCGGAAAACCTACGCTACCGTTGCTTCGGCGTCGTTTGGGAAGCCAGCGACAGTCCCACCGCCAGTGGTGAAAACAGCTGGTATAGGTGTCGAATCAAAGGCACGTGGGGTAAACACTCCCCGTCGTGCCGACTCTTTCACGGATAGTAGCGTTATATCCCGTAACGTTACTGAATCTGAGGCTGTTCTCCCAAGGGAACGCATCTTGGATGACATCAAGTGGCTGAAACTGTGTGTCAGCAAGCTGCTTCCACCTGGTTTCCCTGGTGTCACTGTCAGAAAGCTGACCAGATTGGGGAACGTTCCTATCGCTACGCCAAATCCACGACCCCGACTACTTCGCGTAGTCCTTTCTACCCCGGAGGAACGCAAATCGTTACTGCGATTTGCATTCAAACTTAAGGGTAGTGGTGTCAGCGTTCAGCCGGACCTCCCACTGGCAGATAGGTTGAAGTTAAAGGAGGCTATCAAAGACCTCAAAACTAGACGGGCGGCTGGTGAACAAGGTCTCCGTCTGGTGGGTTTTCAGGTGGTCAGCCGGAAATTACTTTCCGCCCTATCAGAACCAATCCTGATGGCGCACGACCCAGGGATGGTCGTGCCGACTTCCTTGAGCTAGTACTTAGCAACGTGCGTAGCACGAGTGCGTGCACGAGTTGGGTCTACTTGTAGACAAATCTCGTCCCGACATACTTGCTTTCACTGAGACGTGGTTGTCTCCGGATATCACGGACGGTGAGGTATATTTACCTGACTACGCGCTGCTTAGAACTGATCGCTCCGTTGGTCGCCAAGGCGGAGGCGTTGTATTGTATGTGAGCTGTAACTTAGATGTGTTGAGGACTTGCACATTCCAGTCGTCGGATCAGACTGTTGAAGCCCTATCGGCTGTTTTGTGCACTTCCTCTACCCAGTTTACAGTTATAGTGGTATACAGAAGTCCTGGAAGTTCCTCCAGGGGGATACTTGACTTCATTCGCACTCAGTCTGCGAATAAGTGTTTAGTTCTAGGGGATTTCAACCTCCCGGAAGTCTGTTGGGCCGATCTTTCTTGCAATTCGGCATTAGGAACATTCGGTGCAGACTTCCTGGAACTGACTCTCCAAGTGCCTTTGCACCAGTTCGTTGACTTTCCCACTAGGTATATGGATAACCAAATGCCATCTACTTTGGATTTGGTTTTCGCTAAGTCCCTGGACTTCGTGACTGACGTTTCATGCGGTGCACCTCTAGGGTCCAGCGATCACGCATGCATATCCTTTCGATGTGCTCTTTCAAGGCACCAAGAGACCGCTGTTGAATTACTTCCGAATATTTGGCGGGCGGACTTTAGTGCAATGCGAACTAAGGCTTCAGTTCTGAACTGTGAGATTTCGATGGCTGACTCTGTCCAGTTAGCCTGGGATAAATTTAAGGCATACCTTACGGAGGTTTCCGCACCCTATATTCCACTCATTAGGAAAAGAGGGTTAAGGGCACTGCCTCCATGGATAGATACCACAGGCAAGTACTTACTCAAGAAACGGTCTAGATGCTGGCGAACCTACCAAGCAGCTCCATCAGCCAGTACCTATGATAGTTATCGAGAGAATAGAAATAAATGTAAGCAACATCTCAGAACTGCTCGTCTCCAATACGAGCAGGGTTTAGCGGACTCGGCCGCAGCTAATCCCAAGAAGTTTTTTGCTTACGTTAAAAGACGCAGCGGGGCAAAGTTGTGTATACCAGCTTTATTGCGAGCAGACGGGACCCCTGCGCAAACTGACTATGACAAGGCTTGTATACTGAGTGATCAGTATACTGCGGTCTTTGCTCGGGAGACCTCTTTACCGCAGGTTGAATTGGTTTCAAGAGTTCCAGAGGATTCTTGCTTATCTGAATTTAGCATAACGGAGACTCAGGTCTTCGAGGTACTGCAAGGTATTAATCCCTCTAAAGCTTCCGGTCCTGATTCAATTCATCCGAAGCTGTTGCATGAACTGGCCACTGAGCTGAGTGGTCCGCTCACGTGCGTATTTTCAATATCGCTGGACAGCTGCAGCCTACCTTCGGAATGGAAAGAGGCAATCATCTGTCCGATTTTTAAGGGCGATGACAGCGCTCTACCCGCGAACTACCGGCCTGTCAATTTGACAAGCGTAGTAGTCAAGTTGTTCGAGAAGCTGATAAGGGATTCAGTGGAGAACCACCTGAATCGATTCAACCTTCTCAGTGTTGCACAACATGGATTCCGCAAAGGATTTTCATGTCAGACTAATTTACTTGTAGCTCGTGAAAGCTGGGCCGAAGCGGTAGACAGTGGCCACGCTGTAGACGTGCTATTCGTAGATTTTTCGAAAGCTTTTGACACTGTTCCACATCTTCGGCTCTCACTAAAGTTGAGATCTTACGGGATATCTGGTCGCGCCCTTCAATGGGTGTCTGCCTTCCTTGAGGGGAGGGAACAGTGCGTACGGGTGGGGCGTAGCCTTTCGCTCAGGCAAGCTGTCTTAGTGGCGCTCCGCAGGGCTCGGTATTGGGGCTGTAGGAGCTTTAACTTATTTTGCTATTTTTAGCTTATTTCTCTTCGCACAGGGAAGATACTAGCCACAATCATGTGACTCTAACCACATCATTCAAAAGCTATTGATGTATATACAATCAATGGACAACTTACTTTGAACTCTGGCTTATACCATCCAGCCAAACACCACCTGTGTTTTCCCTGTGTAATCTTTCTGCCCTACTGTCGTAGTGTATCTTTGGGAGCCTTCCAAAAATATATCATTGGGATACCAACAAGATTTTATTTCTAACATCCAGTAAGAACGACGGGACATGGCTATTTTTGGACTCCGCACCTAAGCAGCGCTCCTACAAATTGGAGACCCCGACGTGAGTTCGTTCTATCGGATTCAGCTTCCATCATCCGGTGAGTCGTGTCCATTTTCGTCGTTCTTTTTATTGCTTTCATGTATGCGAATATGATCGAGCAGCAAACTGGGGAGATTAACACCGTATCTACTAGCTGTTTACCAACATTTTGGATACAATATCCCCAGCTTTGGTTTTTCCAGGCCGAGTCATTTTTTGAAATTAATCGCATACATAAGGATGTCTTAAAAGTTCATTATGTGATCTCTAAGCTCCCACCTGAATTATTACTCCTGGCACAGGATATCTTGAAGACAAGCCCCACATACCAGCAATTAAGGGACTTTTTAATTCGCGAGCTTAGCCTTAGTGAGCGTAAGAGAGTGCAACGTCTACTTACAGAAGAACAGTTAGGCGATCGCACTCCTACTCAACTACTGCGAGCCATGCAAGCTCTGGTAGGTGACAGCCCTCCAGAGAATTCCATCTTTAGGCAGTTATTTTTGCAACGGCTCCCTACTCACGTACAACAAATACTGGCTAACGCTCATCAGGATACCGACTTGAAAGACCTAGCCCTTATGGCTGATAAAATAATGGAAATACAAGCACCCACGATCTCAATTTCTTCGCCTCCTATAACTGACGACTCGCTTGTAAAAGCTGTGCACTCCCTGCAGCAGCAACTGGCCTCCATCTCCATCACCCACCGAAACCGTAATTCGAGGTCAGGCCAGCGGCGTATTCGCAGCGCTAGTCGTTCACGTGGCATTTGTTGGTATCACCGTAGGTTCCGTAACAAAGCTCGGAAATGCATAAAGCCGTGTCGATTTTCCATTTCGGGAAACGAACACGCCAGATCGTAATGGCGACGACGCAAGCTGGCATATGCGAGCCAGGTCGCCTCTTTTACCTGCGAGACGTAAGATCTGGCATGCGATTCCTCGTAGACACTGGTGCCCAAGTCAGTGTGGTTCCTCCACGGCCGGAGGACTTAAGGCACTGCTCTGTATACAGCCTGCAGGCAGTAAATGGCACGCCCATCCGAACCTATGGAGAACGGTCCATCACGCTGAACCTTGGTCTCCGTAGGCCTTTTCCTTGGATTTTCATTGTAGCCAAAGTGCCCACTGCCATTCTAGGCCTCGATTTTTTCCAGCATCATGGCATTATTGTCGATCCCAAGCGCTGCCAAATCATTGATGGCCTAACGCAAATATCTCGGGCTGATTTTAAAGATTCCATTATGTCTATGAGTCCGCAGCTTGCCCCACCACGAGCCACTCCAAAGTACTTGGATTTGTTACGAGAGTTTAACAGCTTAACAAAGCCTGGATACCAACCCGATGATGTCAAACATGAGATCGTCCATAGGATAACGACAACAGGTAGTCCAGTCTACCATCGTCCGCGGCGTTTAGCGCCCGATAAACTTTCCGTAGCGAAGGCTGAATTCGACCATATGCTACAATTGGGCATAATACGTCCATCCAGCAGTACATGGGCATCGCCCCTACATATGGTCCCGAAAAACCAGCCTGGGGATTGGAGACCTTGTGGGGATTATCGGGGACTAAACGCTAACACCGTCCCAGACAGGTATCCCATTCCGCATCTCCAGGATTTCTCTTCCTCGCTATACGGAAAACACGTGTTCAGTAAGATAGATTTAGCACGAGCATATTACCAAATTCCTGTCCATCCTCAAGATGTTCATAAGACTGCCGTTACTACACCTTTTGGCTTATTTGAGTTCTTGCGAATGCCATTTGGTCTCCGCAATGCAGCTCAAACATTTCAGCGTTTTATGGATCAGGTTATTCGTGAGCTCGATTTTGTTTTCGTCTACACTGACGATGTCTTGGTTGCAAGTTATAACCATGACGAACACTTGCGTCATCTGCGACAACTGTTCGAGCGATTTGTGCATTATGGGGTGGTTATCAATGCCTCCAAGAGTCAGTTTGGTGTTGATACGGTAGACTTTCTTGGTCACCGTGTTTCCTCCGCCGGAATTACACCCCTACCCGACAGAGTGACAACCATCACAGAATACCCTATCCCCGATTCCATCAAAAAGTCACGTCGGTTTGTAGGCATGGTTAACTTCTACAGACGTTTCATCCCACACTGTTCTGAGTTAGCCCAGCCACTTACCGAGCTACTCAAGTTAGATGCTAAATCATTCAGCTTCACGGAATCAGCTAAGCGGGCATTCAGTGATCTAAAACATCAGCTAGCAACTGCCACTCTTCTCGTGCATCTTGATCCGAAGGCTCCGTTACAGTTAACGGTAGACGCTTCAGATGCAGCAGTAGGTGGTGTGCTCCAACAGCGACAGGGAGGTGAATTGTATCCAGTTGCCTTTTTCTCTAAGAAACTGCAGCCTGCCGAACGACGTTATAGTACGTTCAGCAGAGAACTCCTAGCTATTTATCTCAATGTGCGTCATTTCCGACATTACTTGGAAGGGCGTACATTCACGATATTCACCGATCACAAGCCGCTAACGTATGTACTGCGTTCTGCTTCTGATCGACTTTCCCCACGAGAAACTAGACAACTAGATTATATCTCCCAATTTACCTCCGACATTCGGCATTTGTCCGGTGTGAACAACACCGTAGCAGATGCCCTATCACGGGCGGAAATCAATACCCTCCTTGAGCATTCCCCATTGATCTTCAAGAACTAGCCACAACACAGCATCAGGATAAGCAGTTTCTTCAACAACTTCGAGAAACTAATCTACAGGTGAAACCCATTCAGCTGCCTGATAGTTCGGATGTTCTGATGTGTGACGTTTCTACAGGAAAGCCACGACCTGTAGTTCCACCGACCTATCGGCGAATCATTTTTGATTCATTACATGGTCTATCACATCCAGGCATCCGTGCAACGCGCAAACTCATCTCCGATCGTTTCGTGTGGCCGGAACTGAACAAAGAGGAATTGTCTCCCATGTCAGCGTTCAAAAGTGCACCGCCATACACAGGCACCTCTTGGCGAGTTCACCGTTCCCGATGCTCGTTTTAGTCACGTGCACATCGACACCGTCGGTCCGCTGCCGCCGTCGAGTGGATTTAAGTACCTACTTACTTGCATCGATCGTTACACTCGTTGGCCCGTGGCAGTACCCATCGCGGACATTTCCACAGAGACGGTAGCACGTAACTTTGTGGCTCATTGGATCGCACATTATGGTGTCCCATCCACCATAACAACGGATCGCGGTGCGCAATTTGAATCAACCCTCTTTCGAGATCTCACTAATATCCTCGGAGCTAAGCGAATAAGAACAACTGCGTACCATCCAACAGCGAACTGGTTAGTCGAACGTTTTCACCGCCACCACAAAACATCTTTGATGGCATGTTCTGACACTACCCGTTGGACAGAAAACTTACCGCTGGTTCTATTAGGTCTACGAACGACGTTTAAAGCTGATTTAGGTTGCTCTGCCGCGGAGCTGGTATACGGTACCACGTTAAAGCTCCCGGCTGACCTCGTTCAACCCATCGACTTCAACGCTCTAGATCCCTCAAACTTTGTTCATCGCTTACGTTCATCCATGCGTGAACTGCATTTTACTGCCACACGAGCACAAACTAACAAGTGTTATATACCAAAAGATCTGACAACTTGTTCACATGTGTGGCTACGAAACGATGCAGTCCGCAGGCCTCTACAACCACCGTACGAAGGGCCATTTGAGGTGATCGCTAGAACAGAAAAACATCATATGATCAACAGGAATGGTAAAGTCGATGTAGTTTCGGTAGACCGACTCAAGCCAGCGTACATAGAACAACCTTGTGAAAAACAATCGACAGGTTCTAAAAACACCATATGTACGCAGGAGTCATCAAGGCACTTTGAAAATGATCCTCAATCATCAACATCTGAAGCTAAGCCAAAAGAGACTAGTACGCGGCAAACACGGTCAGGTAGAAAAGTTCATTTTCCAGACCGTCTAGCGTATTAGACATCTTGAGAATAACAACCTGCCGTGCTGTCTATCTTGTTATACTGCCTGCTGCCAGTTTTCTTTCCTGCTCGTTGCTTTCCAGTGTTTGCCAGGAGAGGAAAGAACAACTTTAGCGCGAAAAAGAAGATTCTCATGTCGACAAAAGGCAGAAGGATTGCGTTGGACAACACTCGCAACTCAAACATCCTTGTTGCACTACTACATTCTGCTCCCACATTTTCACTGTATCTTCGCTAACAACTTTACCTGCATGCCTCCTGTGCCTCAGCCTCGGGCATTTTAAGCGACACTGTATCAGGTAGAGGTCAGTTTTCCCGGCAATTCCCACCGGGTTTTTTACTCCTGGTCGCTTATCACCGTGCGGCTACCGCACTGGTGGGGAGGTATGTAGGAGCTTTAACTTATTTTGCTATTTTTAGCTTATTTCTCTTCGCACAGGGAAGATACTAGCCACAATCATGTGACTCTAACCACATCATTCAAAAGTTATTGATGTATATACAATCAATGGACAACTTACTTTGAACTCTGGCTTATACCATCCAGCCAAACACCACCTGTGTTTTCCCTGTGTAATCTTTCTGCCCTACTGTCGTAGTGTATCTTTGGGAGCCTTCCAAAAATATATCATTGGGATACCAACAAGATTTTATTTCTAACATCCAGTAAGAACGACGGGACATGGCTATTTTTGGACTCCGCACCTAAGCAGCGCTCCTACAGGGCCATTGTTGTTCGCGATCTATGTAAATGACTTGCCGGAAGAGCTAGGGGTGTCATCATGAATGTTTGCTGACGACCTTAAGCTCTGGAATATTGTGGATATCCCGGGGGGTCCTGAGGCAATTCAGCGTGCCTTGGACAGACTCTGGGAATGGTCTATCTTATGGTTGATGCCCATAAATAGGGCCAAGTGCTCTGTTCTCCGAATCGGAGCTGCAAATCCTCCCACCCGATATGTTCTCGGCGGTGGTGAACTCCCTGTTGTCACTCAGCACGTTGATTTAGGAGTCGTACACGCATCAGCACTTCATTCTGGAGACAACTGGAAGAAGGCTGCTTGTCGAGGGTTTCGTATGATGTGATTTATCCGCCGCTCTTTCGGAATCTTAACGACCAAGTTGTTTGTGAAGCTATTTTCGGCATTCGTCCGACCCCACCTGGAATATTGTATTCAGGCTTGTCCACCATGTCTTAACCGAGACAAAATGGACTTGGAGAGGGTGTTACGAGTGGGCACTCGGTTAGTGCAGGGTCTACGGTGACAGACGTATCCTGAACGCTTGCTCAGTTTGGGTATGTACTCCATGCACTATCGAAGGATAAGAGGGGACCTGATTCTCACTTATCGTATTTTGACGGGTAAGATTGGCCCGGACTTGTCAGGGCTTTTTAGTCCCGCTACGTTACCTAGTCTCCGCGGTCACCCACTGAAACTGCATAAACCACGGTCTGATAGGATTAGGACGGAAACTCGTCTATCGCGCCGAGTTATAGATCGCTGGAATTCTCTTCCAGATCACGTGGTTAGGGAACCTACGGTTAAGGGTTTTGCGCGCCAGCTCGATGCTCTTGGGTGGCAACAGCAAACCTTTCCTTTTTCCTAGCTGACTCACCTTCATTTTTCAGTTCTTTTTTAGTGACTCAAATATCTTGGTATTCCACTTGCTTAGCTCTTACCACTTTCTCTTTTGCCTCCTGCGTTTACTTTTTTCTTTTTCTTACTTCACGTAACCGACCCAGTAGGGACTGCTAGGGCAGGATACGTGGGCATTAATTGGTTGGACAGGGTGTGATGCGGTCTTTGTTTTAGGTCCATCAGTATTTCAAAGTTCGCCAACTCCTGGTTCAACGACCCGCCGAAGAAGGAACACTCACGGGATCTATCCTATCGTTCCAGTCCCGCTTGAACTTGAACTTGACGATGCA